TGTGATTCGCATGTAACATTTATTGACATATTTTATGCCACTTATACTTGGCAATTGTTTACGCACAGCATTAAGCAAAGTGAGTAAAAAGTATTTCATGCAATTATTTATACAAAAAGTYACAGGCAGACAACAACAAAAACGTGCAACACAAAAAAAGTCGAGTAATTAAATCCTTCTCTACTTTACGCGGCGACGAGTTTTTGTGCCCACATTAAAAAAAATAATAACAAACAAGTAAGGAAGACTAAGTTCGGGTGTAGCCGAAGATGTCAGGGATCAAAGTCAACTTGCAATGATCAAAGCCTGAGAAAYAGTTTCATGTGTTGGCAAATTTTTTTATTAAACTGGGAAAAGTATCGCCTAGATTACATTCAATTAAGGGAGGCATTAGGGTTTAAAGGTAAATACTTTTTTTCCGAATTTATTTCTAAATATGGATCCATATTGTAATCTAACTCCCTTAAGGCAAGAGGATGCTCTGTTTAACGGTGTTTCCAAAAACGATACGATGATACCATTTCTTAAAAAAAAATAAATAAATGTAAAGGAATTTCAAATGTTTTCTGTTTAATGTAATCAGTACAATTGAGTACGGAATATAACATCATTACTTCTTTTGTAGGAACAAATTCGATTAAACCATTTTTCGAGTATTTTCTTCACTACATCATGTCATATGTCATGAATGGCACGTTCAATGTTGACTTATAAAGCTTAAAGGGACATTGATTTTTTGCTAAAGACCCATGACTTCTAACAATGCTACAATAATTAGTCGTATGATGTTAAATCACAACTTCTTGGAGGCCTTTCAATGTCACAGTTTCTTAAAATAATCGAATTTCCAAACCCTTCTCGCAATAATTCGGTTGTTGTACGTGCTGTGTGACACGTAACCCCGTTTTGTTGGAACCAGATGTTGTCAAGATCAACTTCTTCCAATTGCGACCATAAAATGGAATCCGGTCTCAAAATCAGCCAAGTCTCTATTCTTGAGAACGTTTTAGAATCGACAAATTGCGATCTTCAGCAAAACTAGCCTGAACGGCAGSAATATTTTCATTATTTCGAACGGTTCTTTGTCTTGTTGGYACTTGAAAATTTTGAAAAGAAAATCTACGCTCGAAATTTTCAACGATTTGACGAAAATTATATCATCCCTATTGGAAAACCAAGAACATATAATTTTTTTCTGAATTTCTTTAAGATTTCTTTACGAAAATTCGAAAGTATTTATGTTAGGTATGTGGGGACTAAAAGCAATATTTGGTTTAAATTGTTCTAGCAGTATAGATATAGAGTATATGAGATATATAATGTACAATTTTTACATCCGATCCCCTATCAACTTGGCTGTGAAAATTAATGCTTGTAGGGCATTTATTCAGTGACTATTCAGACAGTTTTTAAGAAAATCTGCAATACCAACCTCCTTTGGTGTTTTCSGAATTTCAGATCGATATCTCAAAAACTGAGAATATATTTTTTGTAAACATTGAAAAAAATATTATATCAGATATGGACTATACTTATCGGGTATATGGTTATAAACAACTTAGCTGGTCATTTATWCACATACTTTGTAGAGTTTCCGAGGTTTTTTTTTTTGTTTTTTTTTGTGTGTTACCTCATGACAAGTTTCTAAAGAGTGTAAAACTGTTTATATGCACCTGCACTTTTTTCCGACAAATGTATATAAATTTGCGTTAAACTTTTACTTTTTGCTTTTGTTTTTGACTATTGGTCATCACTGTCTCCGCGTACAGACGATATGCAACGTTSTTTACTTTAAGTATAACTAACTTTTATATGGTTGGGAAATAATTTTTTTAACTTGTTTATCAATRTGGCAGTTTTTATCTTACAACATGTCTACGGCGTATTTGTCATTGAACAGATTTTTAGGCGGAACTGCATTACATTTTGTTGGGCAATAACGGTAAACTGCCAACACATAAACCAAATACTCTAAACTGTTGATTAAAAATATTCTTTTAACATATAAATTTTATATACTGCAGCGTTCTAACTGTATTTTGAAATAAGTTCCACCTACGTTTTGAATATTTTTGTGAAAAACATCCACTCTRATTTTTGGAAGTATTGTGTGCTGATACCGGTCTCTAATAATTAATAATTAGTGCACATCCGTTCCCGGTTTCAAATTGCAGTTACTAAAAAAAAAAAAATTGCAAACAGAAATTCTCCCCAAGGCTGAGTTCACACAGGAAGACTTTTGTCGCCCAAATTGATTTTTCTAGCCGTGGAAGATCAAAAAATTAATACACTTCTAAGGAAAAACGCATTTTAAAAGTCAAATATATATTTTTTACCGGACGTATGTGCACATCAAGSAATGACGAAAGCATTTATGAAGTAAAGAAAATAGTATTGGTCAATCGTCGAATCACCATTATAGAAATTGCTAAGGAACAACCATAAGCAACGCGCCAAATCTTCATTGGTGMCACCTTACTTTTTGATCACAATATTATATCGATGTAAATATTTTTACCACAATCAGTGCACATATTTATAAAYGGATTCAGTTTTGATGACTGGTACACAGGCTGTTTTTAAACTACCTATATATAACTATAAGTACTGAGGTTACATATAGCAKGTATATACATATATTTAGTTAGGTAGTATGAGGTTCCGTTTATGGTAATTTCTCTCAGACAACCATGTATTAAATTAACAACACAAAGGCGGTGAACAGAATAAAATAATTAAGGAAAACATAGCCTGCGCAAATATACATACATACATCTGTACATATTAACTTGCCTTTRGCTGCTCATAAAAAACACAAAAACCACACGAATGGCGTGTTGCAACATAACCACAAGCGTTTGGCGCAAATTGCGTACTCGAGACTGCAGGAAAAATAATAATTATGCTTATAAGCATCCACTTCAGTTCTCAAGTAGAAAAAACACTGAAGCAACTTAAGAACTTTTAAAACTGTTATCTCAAACAGTTTTGACAATAAGGTCTCACCGCACTTGCAAGCTCAACAATGTATAATATGTACATGATCTCTGGCGACCATGCACGTYTTAGCACTGAACTTGTATTTATTTTGAGATTTTCACTTTCAAAAACAACCTCAACTCAATAAAGAGCTTTACTTCCATATTTACGAGACAAGTGCAACAACAAATCGCTGGTTAGCAAGGTTCACCCAAAATTTATCACGCTATGCAGCTGTCTTATCTAAAGCTGCATTTACGTGTATTTAGTCTAATTACTGCTTAATGGCCAAAAAATAGCGTATAAACACTAACCGCCACTTAAATTCAAAAAAGTAGCCAATGTCATACCTACTTGTCACTGATTTTGTCAGTATGTCAACAACAGATGAATAGCGTTGGAGTTGTGTTTACTGTTATTTTTATATATGTAGGTATTCTCATAGTATAATATTTGGGTGGTAAGCTGTTAAGACCGCATGACGTAGAGCGCCACCGAAGTTATGCCTTAAGCGCTTTTGATACAATGCATACGAATTATTCCCCGTTGACCTCMGGATTTTTGTGCCGCTTCGGGTATTTATTCAAACACATTGTAGTGTAGCTTAAAATATTCCACTGTCAGCTAARCAAACATATGTTTTGACACTAGCCAGCTCACTAAAGCATTCTTTATGATCAGATATGCCTGCCTCGCACAATATATACAGTATTGTGCAAAATGTATTGCAGCTTTCATGCAAAAAAAAAATTTAGTGTAAGTTTTTTTATAAATCTAAGTGAATAAGTTTTGTTAGGATTTTTTTATATATCTGTTAAGTTTTTTAACATCAAAAGTGATCTCCACCAGTTGTAATACACTTATGCCAACGATTTTTCCAGTCCTCCAAACATTTTTCATAAGCACTTTTTGGGATGGCCTTCAGCTCCTTCAGTGAATTTTGTTTTATCTCATTGTTCTACTGAAAATGGGTTCCACCGAGCGGCAATTTTAGTTTGAGGAACAAGGAARAAACAATCGGAGCCACATCTGGTGAATACGGTGGTTGATCGATTGTATTCACTGCGTTTTTGGCTTAAAATTCGGCAAAAATCGTGGCTCGATGCAATTGTACATTATCATCATGTAAGATTCAAGAATAGTTCTTTCACAATTCTGGCCTTTTTCGATGGATATTCTCACGCAAACGCCTCAATATGATCAAATAGAACGCCTTATTGACCGCCTGTCCCTCCGGAAGTATTTAATGATGCACCAAAACGCAAATATTGGGAAACAAGCGATGTGGTGTCCTTGATTTTTGAGTGGCCTTGATGTGTTTTTTTTTTTTTGGCTCCTTTTTCACTCCATATTAAGTTAACTACAATTTCCGGTTGTATTTTTTTTTTTTTTTTGTTCACAATAAGCCCATTTTGCGGTCATTCAAAATGAGTATTATAAAACTTCATCGAAATTTTCATAACAGCTGTTTAGTTTTTGCACGACACTGCATATACTAGATACATATCGTAGATGATTCGCAGAAAAACTAATAAAACTAAAATAAATATTTGACAACTCTCAAAATGTTTATAGCCA